CAGAATCCATTTCCTAGTGAGGGTAGCAATGGAGGCTTCCAGCTGTTAGGAGCACCAGTGACAAAGGTTCTGGCATCAAGTACCCACTGCAGTGTCCATGCCAAGCCCTGATGACAGTGAGGTGATTGCCGTGGGCTTGGAGGAGCAATGGGGTATTTTTTCCTGGCTGTGTAACTTACAGATTGATTCTTAGGCCCTTTAAAGATCTTGTGCGTTACTGTTCTTAATTTATTTATTTTTGAGACAGGGTCTTGCTCTGTCACCCATGCTGGAGTGCAGTGGCACGATCTCAGCTCACCATACCCTCAACCTTCTGGACTCAAGTGATCCTCCCACCTCAGCTCCCCAAGTAACTGGGACTACAGGCATGCACCAACACGCCTAATTTTTGTCATTTTTGTAGAGACAGGTTTTGCCATATTGGCCAGGCTGGTCTCGAACTCCTGGACTCAAGCAATCCACTGGCTCAGCCTTCCAAAGTACTAGCATTACAGGCACGAGCCACCACACCCAGCCGAGTGAATATTCTTTAATAAATTCCATTCATATTGGCCGGGCGCGGTGGCTCACACCTGTAATACCAGCACTTTGGGAGGCCAAGACGGGTGGATCACAAGGTCAGGAGATCAAGACTATCCTGGCTGACATGGTGAAACCCCGTCTCTACTAAAATACAAAAAAAAATTAGCCAGGCATGGTGGCGGGCACCTGTAGTCCCAGCTACTCAGGAGGCTGAGGCAGGAGAACAGCGTGAACCTGAGAGGCGGAGCTTGTAGTGAGCCGAGATCACGCCACTATACTCCAGCCTGGGCAACAGAGCAAGACTCCGTCTCAAAAAACAAAAACAAAAACAAAAACAAACAAAAAAAACAAATAAATTCCATTCATATTTAAACTAGCTAGATTCCTCTTGTTTGCTGATACATATGCCTACAAATGAATATTAGCTTGCTACCCTAAATTATAAATGGTAAACATATATTATTACAAATTACCAGAGAGCTCTCTTCATTCAATAATAATTTGTTAGGCCAGGTGCAGTGGCTCACACCTGTAATCCCAGCACTTGGGAGGCGGAGGCAGGTAGATCACCTGAGGTCAGGAGTTCCAGACCAGCCTGACCAACATGGAGAAACCCTGTCTCTACTAAAAATACAAAATTAGCAGGGCGTGGTGGCGCATGCCTGTAATCCCAGCTACTCGGGAGG